TTAAACTGAAAATACCGTTAGTTGGTGGTACATTGTGCGGCGGCGTTGTTGTTGTCGGTGTTAATGTGTGTTGCAGCGGTTGTTGTTGTTGTTGCAGTGTTTGCTGCTGTTGTTGCAGTGACTGTTGCTGCAATGATTGCTGCGTCGCTTGCTGGTGGTGATTTTGTTGCTGCTGATGTGGTTGTTGTGATTGCTGCTGTTGCAGGGGTCCGTGCGGCAGTTGTTGTTGATAGCCGTATTTGAAATTGTCCACACTATTCTCACACATTTCCCGTGCGGCGAATTCAAATGGTGACCCACCGCTACTGCTGCCGTTGCTGTTGTTGCTATTGCTGTCCGCATTGTTGTTGTTGGGACCGTTGATATTCGAATTCACATCCGACACTGTTGTTGGCAGGTAATCCAAGGCAAACCGCGGCGCATCCTGCGCGTGCATGAAGTGCGCTTGTTGTTGTTGTTGCTGCTGTGGTGCATGCTGTTGCTCACTTATCAGCTGTAAATGCGGTTTCTTAGTCTCGCTCATAAGCTCGTGATCCGCACTCTCGAATTCACCTCTACTCCGCTTGTGCGCACCCACCAGCTGCGTCGTGACGCCGTTGCACGCGCCATTCTGCATATTATAATTATTATTCAATTCTTTACTCATATTTGTGGTTGTTGTTGTGGCGCCAGCGGTGTTCTCTACCGCGCTTTGTCCAAAATCCATCGGCGTTGTGTTGGCGCTGCAGTTGCTGAGCATTTCCGGGCTTTGCATGTGATAGTCGGTGTGATCCACCTCAGCGTCACCGGCGCCGTTGTCACCATAAGCGAAATCCGTTGGCTCCGCCATGTGACGTTGTGTGTGCAGCGCTGTCGGCTGTGTGGCTACATTTGTGCTGTGATAAAACGTACCGCTGAGCGTGTGTTGTTGCTGCTGTTGTTGTTGTTGATGTTGATGCGCGACCATATCCTGTTGCATTTGCATGTTGTGCAGATATTCGTAAGCTTGCGGCTCCATTTTGATCAATTTAATCACATTGTCCTGCATGTCCATGGCATGCGGCAGCGGTTTGTAGCTGATGTCCAGCAAAACTTTCGGCGAACTCGGGCGTATGGACATATTCTCAAGCGAGTTCTATTAGCACTTCACCGCAACTTATAGTAGTAACGTTTTGAAACTTAAATTTAAAACGAAAAATATTTCAGCAAATTTTTTTTTTTTTTTAATTAACACTAATTTTCACATATACACACGCACAATAATGTATATTTGGGAAAAAATTTCAAATTTCCACCTCCTCGCGTGAAAACAAACCAGTTCACATCCTAACCCGCACAGGAACGTAACGCAACTAATGCCGCTATGCCGAAGCGAACTCAAAATAGCAATGATCGGCTGTAGTCGCTCCCACATTGTTGTTGTCGCGCATATACCGCTCGTTTGCTGGTTTCACGAAAGAGATCGCTCTATAGTCTGCGTGCGATAGTGACGTCATCAAACGCGTACTATGTACTTTCTATTCTCCACTGCATTGTACGCACCAATCAACGCTAAGCGCTGATCGCTTTTCACACACACACACATATAAAGACGACTGCAAGTATGTATAGAGAAGTGTAGATATGTATGTACATATATACAAATATTTGCAAGAGCAATTAGTTAGTTATTTTGTATAAATGAGTAAGCCATTAACTTATTCCAAATAATTAGTGAGAGAGCTTAGATAAAAATTTATAACTCAGCCGGCATACCCAGCAGGAAAATGCACAGGTACAGAGTAGAATCGGCTGTAGAGGTTTAAATATCATTGTACGCTGAACAAGATATACATATATATTCACTTTGCGTCAAAGTTTGGCCATCAACACGCAAAAGGAAACGTGTTTTTTGTTTTTTTTTTTTTTTTTGATTGATTCGAGCTGGCGCCTGTTAACAAATATATTGAAATTTTTGAATGATTACGATCAACTTAATGGCTATCAAACTAAACTCATTTAAAAAGCTTACGCACAAAAATAGTTTTGATAAGCGTTGCCACCTATGAAAAATTTTCTATTCAAAATTACTATCGACTTAGTTTTAATACTACAATAATCATATCAAAACAGACTTGAATGAAAACGAATTATGTATTTTGAAAAATGGCTTTGAAAGGGTTGCCACCTATTAAAAAAATGTATTCAAACTTATCATGGACTAAATTTTTTTTAATACTACAGTAATCATATCAAAACAAACGAGACTGAAAAAGAATTATTTTGAAAACATTCTTTGAAAGAGTTGCCACCAATATACAAAATTATGTACATTAACATTGATGATAAGAAGATAATCGTATGATTACGCCAAAAAAATTTTAAATTTTCTCAAAATAAACTTAATAAGCAAGCTTACAGAACAAAATATTACTGAAAAGTATTGCCACCTATTTACATTTTTATAGCAACCATTCAATCCAATAGTTGAGTAAAACATATTGCTACGCCAGCAGTCTTAAAATAAATTATTTAAGAAGACTTACAGATACAAAATATTTTGCAAAGTGTTGCCACCTGTTAACCATCATTCAATATAATTGTTGAAATAGACGTATTACACTAAGGGTCTCGATCTTAAATTTAGAAAGCTTACAGTTAAAAGTGTAAAAGGTCAGCGTAGCCACAATGTATTTCAAAAAAATATATAAAATTTGTTTTTATTAAATTTTGAATATTCATTTTTATAGCAATAGATACTAATCAAAACAAACAAAATTAGGAAGGATTTATTTTAAAAAATTCTTTGGGAAATGATTGCCAACTAATGTAAGAATTAAAATTATTTTCAGCGCTGTCAAAAACAGCAGAAACTTTGAACTGCGTGAGCGTAAAGGTATGCTACATTTATTAACTGCATTTGCTAATATTTCTTTGATTTAATAATAATGTTTCAGTTACAGTTCCAGTTAGTTCTATACATTTTTCCGCTTATGAGTTTGTTGATTCACTTGCTTGTAGTGAATACTTATCTTAATAGCAAATAATATTATTAAACGTATATAAATCTTGAATATATATTGTTTAAATAACAGTTAGCCATACTTCATTGTCCGCCACTGTAAATTGTATGTGTGTTCTCCCACCCCAACACACGTCGGTGCTTGTACCCGCTAAATGTTTGGTTGCTAAAAGTTTGAGAACTACTGTACTCCTGCACCTATGCTGAAAGCAAATTTTTATTTAAAAGCCGTTGATTCAGAATTCCTTTGCGTATTTATAATATATAAATAGATATAAATATTATATTGGCATACAGTATATGCATACATACAAAACAAAACTTAAACCGAATGTTTTCCTTGCAATAGTTCGGATAAGAAATACTGGTTATCGGTTATAAAAAAAACTACCTAAGTAATCGACTAAAGAGCACTTTTTCCAGAGAACGTATATTTATAAATAAAAAAAAATATACGTTCTCTGCTTTTTCATATATACAAATATGTATGGATTTATGTACAGTAGCACAGAAGTCCAGGCAAACATTCTTACGATTCTTACCCTGTCGGAAATTTTTAAGTTTCATTAATATTTAATATTTTTTTTTTACAAAAATAAATTTTTCCCTTAAAAGTGTGAATAAATTAATGAAAAAATCTATTTAATTAAATCAGCAAAGGCTTTAAAAATAATTAACATAAAATATTTTTAACTAAATTGCATAATTAACTATTTTATATCAAAATTATTTTTTAAATTAACCTTTTAAAATACTTACTTAAAACATTTGAAAATTTTTTACGAAATTCAAAAACCTTTTTTGTGAAAATATAACTATAATGTATTCAAATTTATGTGTATATATGTGTGTACATAATTTTACTCTTGAATATAATTTACAATTAATTAAAAAGAAAGAATATTAAATATTTTTTGATAAATTCCACACTTTATTGTGCCAAGTTTAAAAAAATGTTAATGAAATTAAAATTAATGAATAATTTTTTTTTCAAAATTTTCTGCAAAACTTAATTAAAACATTTGAAAATTTTTTACGAAATTCAAAAACATTTTTTGTGAAAATATAACTATAATGTATTCAAATTTATGTGTATATATGTGTGTACATAATTTTACTCTTGAATATAATTTACAATTAATTAAAAAGAAATAATATTAAATATTTTTTGATAAATTCCACACTTTATTGTGCCAAGTTTAAAAAAATGTTAATGAAATTAAAATTAATGAATAATTTTTTTTTCAAAATTTTCTGCAAAACTTAATTAAAACATTTGAAAATTTTTTACGAAATTCAAAAACATTTTTTGTGAAAATATAACTATAATGTATTCAAATTTATGTGTATATAGTATATGTGTGTACATAATTTCATTCTTAAATAGATGTGTATAAGAGACAGGTTCAGAACTTATCTGAAAATATTTAATATTAATTTTTAAAAATTATTACAAATTATACTAATTTTATTAAAATTTTTTCGCAAAATTTGTCCCAATATTTTAAAATAAATGAAATAAATTAATTAAAATTATATTTCAATATAAGAAATATAATGTTTTCATATTTTTTCTATTACATTTTTTAATTTTTGAAAAATAACGTATTTTGTATTAATTATTAACAAATTTTAACTTATTTCTCATTATAAAAATTAATATTATGTATATTAAGAAAAAAGATATCTCTAAATTCTTATTAGATATAAATTAATTTATTTTTTATATTACGTACAAAAACAACAATGCGAAAAATTCTTTACATCACCGAAAAACTTTCTACAGGGTACATAGCCAGCATTGCTCACTCGGTTCGTTTTGGTAACCACACACTATGCTATTGCTAACACAGCCTGTACTCATACCAAGCATTTACGTATACACATACATATATATGTATATATATATATATAATGGCATATAAATATATGGCATGTATTTATAGGGCAGATAAGTATTCACGAGTGTTTCGTTCTCTCGCGTTCGTATCAACACTATCCGTTGGCATTTGCGTTTATCGCGTCGCCTGCGAGTTCGCTGCCATCGAAATAACGCAGTGCCCGCAGTATTGTCGCGTACAGCAATGGAGAAGGAAGATTTCATAGAGGAAGTACGCAAGCGAGAATTTTTATGGGATAAGAAAAAGATACCATTGGGAAGGCAGCAGCAAAAAATAACCGACGAACTATGGCAAGAAGTAGCGGACGTTTGTAAAATAACAAGTGAGTACACAATTCAATGTAAAAAAATTTATGTATTGTGAAAAAGTAGTGTATTCTTAAGTTTGTATACAAAAACAAATATAGCGATGTCAGAAATTTTCATTGAAATAACTCGTTTGTATCGCTCATGTGAAGACACACAGATATACATATAAGGCTAGGTAAAAAACATTACTGCGAGTAATTATAGGCGCTTGATGAGTGTACGGCATGGTGGGTAAAAGAAAAACGCGTAGATAAATGTCGCGTTATGCGTATATCCAAACATGCATACATACATATGCACATATCGACCACTTGTGTTATCGATTATTTCGTAGTTTGCTTAGAACGACTTTGTGTTTGCAGATAATTTGCATGTGCGTGCAAGCGTACCGTTATCGCTGGAATTTTTCGAATGCGTTTTAGAGTTCCTCTATGCATGTACACACATATGTATGTACATAGATCTATAAATAGTTTTATCGTTGCTTCAATGATAGCGGCGGAACCAGAGCTAAATTACGTGCTTCAGCTTTTATATGTATATATATGTATAGTACCGTTATTATACTTTAGCTAGTTCCAAATTCAAAAAATACAACATTTTAAAACCCCTCTTTTCTACTTTGCCCCTCTTTCAGAGTCCACAGCCAAAATAAAGTGGCGCAGTTTACGCGATCAATTCTTGAAGGAATTAAAAAAAGTGCCAGTCTACACCAGCGGCGATAGTTATTACATTGACGAGCGTGAAAAACCGAAATGGACACATTTTAACAGTTTAATTTTCTTACTAAACACCCACATACCCCGCAAAGAAGTTATTGATATTAGGCCCGAATCGATAATTGATATACGTTCGCCCGATTCGGTGCATAGCTGGGATGAGAACAAAAGTCAAATCGAAGATATACCACCCACATTAGAGACGCCTGAAACTAACGACACATACAATCACTTTCCCAGCATACGGAAAGTTTACACGCTGGACGAGGAACTTGAGAATGCCAACTCGTGTGTAACTGAATGGAAACATGAGCCCTCGGAAGCGAATGCGTGCGATGAGGGTAGATTACAAATAGAATATGAACCACCACCTTTTGTTGCGGTCGCACCACAAATGGTAGATCCGAAATATGCGAAGAATAAGCGTGGCTACACATGCAACGCCGAGGAATACGGCGAGTCGGCGGTCGCACAACCGCGCGATGAACTGCACAATTGTCCGAGCAAGAAAGCAGCAATTGAGCTGGACAAATCAGTTGAGCCACGAACGGCAGCCGAGTCGAATGAGGATAATGAAAATTTACTGTTCTTTCGCTCACTTTTGCCTTATATGAATCGCTTGGATATAGTGCAGCAGTTGCGGGTGCGTACGCGGTTTCAGGAAATTTTAATGGCGGAATTGGGATCTACCAGACACTAGTCTAGTGAGGAAGATGAAATATTTCAATCAAACACAAACCTACGCATTTTATATTTAAATTGTAAATAAAGTTATTTTTTTAATAATACGAGTAATTATGACTATACATTCGTTTTTTTTTTCCAAACCGCTGAAATCTGTACTTAGACGTACTTATAAATCCATTATAATTTTTTTTCCCCTCACATAAAGTTGTTGAGTTGATAGTCCTTGGCATCCGGTTTCGTTTTGGTTGCTTACATCCGACAGCTTGGGAGTCTGACTGTCAAGAATCAGCTTCAATCACGCTTGAGAATTCCAAAAATGGCTATCAAGGTGGATAATGGGACAAAAGTCCCTGAAATCGTATCAACTGACCACCGTTTAAAGGTGTACAAGATATCTGAGTCAGTAGATCTTTCAATAGACGTTGGATCGTCTCCGTACCACAAACCCAACGGGACAACTACTTTGCAGCTTGGTTTGACGCATTTTAAGCACAACCGGATCAGAGTCCGGTATACCAATTGCCTGTGAAGATCCCCAAGAATCGGCTTCAGACGTTTTATGACGGTCGTTAAGATACGGGTTCCTTTGTATACCTCAGACACCAAAAAATGGCCCAAATTATGAACTAAACTGGTTGAAAATGTTCCGCAGAAGTTGAAGAAAATCTTATCGAAAGGTGATGAGCAACGTTTTCTAGGTGGAATAATCTACAACGGCTGCTTGAAGACGACCACATCTATTGTAGAGTTGAAACCGAAAAAAGTGTTCTTCCAACTTACCAATGCACTGGTTCGAACTTACACCAAGAAAATGGACAAATTGGCCGAACTACTACAATTCAACGTATTCCACAAATTCGGCTTGAGTTACTTTTTTATGATTTCGAACTTGAAAAAGTCACTCACTCTGCGTAAATTAGACTCGGATGAAAGCTCATCGCCGCCACCTCCAGAAAACATATTTTTGAGGGTGATTAGCACCTATCTGTGCGTTAAGTTCCAGTCAATTTAATAAAGACTCCTTCTTTCAGTAAAGAAAATTTATTTTATCCAGATCTGAAATGAAAGATGGCTACCAACCAAGCATTGCGAAAACGAAAACTCCTAAATGTCTTCAATTTATCTAGAAATTTTATTTCGAAGCTCTCAGATTTATCAGTCAGACCTCACTATAGCATGTTAGTATAGAAGTCTGAACCCAAACCGCGCTGCATTATCGACACAAACTTCTTACGAGCGCTTACCCATATGACGACTACTTTGTACGCCGTGCAATAATAATAAATGCAACGCTGTCTACCAAATTTTACAGTAATGCCGAGACGCATATAAAGTTGCACGCGAGCGCATACATACATATGTGCTTAACCCCGGCTGAGTATGCATTTGGCTGACAGTTGTTTTTGCGACGATGTGCAGTTGTTGGTATTTTTCAAAGTCACAGCTGCCGCGTGGAATACAAATGCAATGCCGTCAAAAACCAATAACAACAACAACATCAACAACTTGTAAGTATACCGAAAATATGCCATTACTATGCAGACTGAGTACATGCCTGATGGGTRTGTGCAGCAGAGCGCGCGACGGCTTACATGCGTAGAAAAAATGAGACACCACTAAAGCCGTTAACATTTAATGAGTGTTTTGCAGACTGTTAAAACAGCTGTTTGTTTATTTTATTTTTTAACAGCGTCGTCATTTTGCAGCGAGCGGATGATCACGTGAGCGATTCATGTTAAGGTGTGTTATTATTTTTATTTGTAAGAGTCAAAGAGTGTGAGTGCAGCGAGAGTAAATAGAGTGTGCTGTTAATAACATTTTCTCTTCTTATTCACATTTCCGCGCAGGTATTAGTCACTGTTACGCAAAGAGCACATGTTTGGGGTTGAGGGTTGAAAAGTGCATGTACACACCAATACAGCTGTCGTTGCTGTCGACAGGATATTCGGCCAGCCAGGATATTTTGCCTTCAGCAGCAGGTCGTGCGGTCGTCGACAGTTCAACTTCAGCTTGCTGTGCCACTGCAACATTCAGTCAGTTTAACACTTTGTGGCGCCGTGTGCGGCTGTAAAAATTTCGTCTATGTTAGTTAGTTCACTTTCAAAACGGCAACGTGCGGTTATTTTCAAAACTTAGAAGAGAAATTTTGTATTTATTTTTGGCAAAGGTGAAATATATTAACATGTTATGTTTAACGTAGAAAAATATATTTTTTCTCAAAAATGCAATGTTTTCAGTTTCGTTGTTGTTATTGTCTAATTCTCAAAGAAATGCACAAAAGTGACGTCATGCTTTGCATTCACAAGCAATTTGTGCCAATTCGTTTTAGCATTGCATTGTTAAACTAAGCGATTTGGTTGACGAGTGTCTTTGAAAATCATATTTGTAATAAGAATTTGTGAAAATTGCTGGCAATATGCGAATTGGCAACTGCAACCACAACAAAGGTGAAAACAAAACAACYGCAGTGGCAAAAACAAAGTGAGTGGCAAACATCTAGCAGTTTTGTTGTGCGGCAAGCCACGCGAAAGTAAAAAAAACACAGCGATATTTGTATGTGTTTGTGGTAGTGTGTGTGTGTGTTGATAAGATCGTGTTGTAGCGGCACTGTGAAGTATTTTTCACCTTTTCTAGGTTAAAAACCAGCTAACGAGCTTAAAAGGAAAATGGAAATATACATACATATATGTATATACCACTGCAAATTAAAAAATAATTATAAACAATTATAATATTTCCAAAAGTGCAATTTAAACCAAACTAAAAGTAATTCAAAAATATATAGAAATTGTCATCAAATAGATAAAATACCAACGAATAGAGTAATATAATTTTTTAATTGTGAAATTTAAAAGAAATAACTTTTTTTTTAAACAAATTAACAAAAAAAAAATTAATAATGAAGAAATAATTAGTCAAATAAACATATAGTATTAATAATAAAAAATAAAA